AGGAGAAAAAAAACAGTTAAAAGGTGATGTATGGAAAAATATCTGAAACGTTGAGATAGGAAACCAAATTCATTCCCAGTTGTGCAAAACAAAAGATTCATGTTCCAGAAAAGACTGTACTTAGAAAGCTATTTGAGAATACCTAAATAACTAAAGATACAAGTATTTTATACTGTGTAATCCACTCCCAAATAAATACCTGGCCCAGGGAAACATATGCATATAGGTATAAGGTGAATTAGACAGTGTTGTTAATTGCAATGCTTTATTTTTTAAAATTTTTATTTATTTGTGTTTATTTATTTATTTATTTAGTACTGGAAATCTAACTCAGCACCTTGCACTTGCCAGGCAGGCACTTGTACTGCTGAGCTATATCCCCAGCCCCAATTGCAACATTTTAGTGATAGTGTGAACTGTAAAAAATTTAAATGCCCATCCGTAGGTAAGTGTATAAATTGTGTCATTTTTAATTCATTGCCACACTGAAAGTGAGCTAGGGCTCCGTGCATTAACATGGAAAAAACGTCAAAAACACAATATTGAAAATTGATAGTCTATTTTAATGCTATTGCTTATCTTATTATTAAGATATTGTTTAAAGATACTAAAATATATGGAAATGATGAATATCACATTCAGGTTAGTGTAATCTGGGGAGAATGAGAGGGAAAGGGAAAATGAAAGAATACACAGGCAGCATTGTATTTATACTCTATTCCCTCAAAAATAATTTCAAAAATAAGAAGAAAGAGAAGGAAATAATGCATTAAATAATTGAGAATATGAATATAGGTGAAGGTTTTAATACTTCAGTGTTAAACTGTGTTTCATGTGAGTATCCATATTTTACTGCAATAATGATTTTAAGCATAGAAGCTTAGTTTTGAAGGGAGCAAATGACATTCCCTACACTTTGGCATTAAGCCCTCCTAATACTACCTACGTTATTTCCCTCCTTTTTTTTTCAGTAAAGATTGTGAAAGAGTAGTAATAAAGTGTTTATTTCTCCAATTTCTACTCATTTCCCAGCCCACTGGAATTTGTAAACCTACATGAAAGTTAAACTTTTGCTGAGGTCCCTAATGAACCTCTTTTATTTTCTGTATATTGGCAGAATTTGATAGATTGGATCCACCTTTCTCTTGAATCTCTCCTACACCTCTACAACACTCCCTCTCCTGATTCTGTCTTCAGCTGTTTCTGGTCAGTTTCTTGACAGGCTCCCTTTCATTGTGTCCCTCTTACACGTTCATCTTCAATCACATTCTGACTTCATCACTATTATTCTGTATATTCTCCGTGCATTTGTAGACAGACTCTAGACTTCTATGATCAGTTTCTACTATTCACTACTGGAGGTTTTTATTTTGTATTTAGGTATCAGGAATTATTTAGAGTGATTGATTCTCTGGAAAAATTAAGCAAGGTTTTAAATGTATTTTCACAGGTAAAGTTTTACTAATCCCAAGCTTTGTGATTTCCCCTTAAAAAGTTGAATTTACTTTTCTAGGCAGGAAAATGTTTGTGGAAATATCAGGTGTTTGTGGAGAAATATCTGTATGAACTAGGATTTTTTTTTGGTGGTTTGATTGTCAAGGTATTGGTAGCTTAATATGTCAATAATATCAGGAAATGCACCACAGAAATTTGGAAATATACAAATCCTGGAACCAAAGAGCTCATTTACCAGCCTATCATGGCATAATTTTTTTTCTGAAAACAAAAATCTCTATGAAGTTTGATGTAATGACAAACCAACAAACTATCTTGCTCTAAATTTTAATGTGCCATAGGGTTAATTATGCCTGCAAGAATGAAGGCTAGTCTATGGATGACAAATCCATATTACCTGTAAGATGAGTGTTAACCACACAAGTCAACACTAAAGTTTCTTCTGTATTTTCTATGTGTTTTTGAGTGATTAGTTGCCAAATGAAGTTTTTGAACCATCTTTAAAAAAGGTAAAATTACACTGACTCATAATAAGTAAGTATATATTTTCTATGAAAAAGTTGCCCAAAATTTAGTTGCAAGTTAGGGCAAAATTCAGAATTTTTTAAAAGAATAAATCTTCAGTTTTATCTACTACATCCTAACTGAGAGAAAATAGTATGGGAAAAGATCTTGTTACTGTAGGTCTGAATATTTGTGATGATAACATATAACTTCTCTCTTGAAAAACTGTGATAAAATGTTCAACAGGTCGTTTTTTTTTTTTTCTCTCCCACCCTGTGAAAAAACCACATTAAAGTCTTGAAACTGACTAGTTCATGAGTTCCATTTCCTGTTATGAGAAGGCAAATGTATCTTAGACTCACCGAAGTTCTTGAAGATTGTTTTCATTCTCTTCTATAAACCAACATAGGTTTCACACTCACATATATGAAGTGAAACTGAAACTCCCTGCAATTTGTTATTTCTATAACATGAAGTCTTTCTGGCCAGGGAAGCAGTTTAAGCAGTTAATAGTCTGCTTTAGGGGAAGTATTATCAGAGAAGAGTTGCTTCACTGCCACTGAAGCTTAGGTGCTTGCTTAAGGTCCTGTATTGTCCTGTTTTGGATTTCCACTTCTCATCCCAGCCCAGCCGCATGACTCTACATAAACAAAAGGTTGGTCTTGAGTAAAACTGGGACAGAGCCCACATTTTGCATGGTTGTCTCCTACCTCTCTTTGCTGATTCTGTAACTGTCCTACAGGGATTTTCTCTCAGTTGCTTGATCTTTGTAAAGCTGCTCTTTGGCTTGAAATAATGTAATTTCACCTCTTCATCTGGAGCCCGGCACTTTCCTTACTCCTTGTTCTCCTGACTCTCAGTTGTTCTAATGTCCCTGGTGGGGCCTCTTGGATCCTACATTTCCCAAATCTTGCCTACCATCCATCTTCACATGCTGTTTGCCTTTAGTCCTGCCTCTCAGCTGAGTTTTAGCTTCAAATGACATACTTATTTGGGCAAAAATATTTTGTCAATAGATCCTAATTGGCTTTTACTCATCTCAGATGATTGCCATATCAAAAAAGATACCTAGATCAAGGAAACGGAGGCAGGAGTATCCTAAGACTGAGCCCAATCTGGGCAACTGACGTAATAAGATTCTGTCTCAAAATGAAAACAAACAAACAAACAAACAAGCAAGCAAGCAAACAGAGGCTGGGAATATAGCTCAGCACAAAGGCCCTGGGTGCAAACCCCAACAAAGAGGGAAAAAAGATGCCTGGAGACTATACTGGGGGGAATTTTAGAACAAGAAGCAGGCAGCATGGGAAATGTTGTGAAGTGCAGCTGAAGAGAGGACATTTCCATAATAACAAGCTTACATTTAAATAGCGTGCCACAATTGACATATATCTATTTTTACATAAAATGTGTCCCCCAAGAAACTAATCAATTATCCATATGAAAAAAGGACTTTCATAAAATAAAGAGCCAGTGAAGGATTTCCTAAGCTATCCCTCCCACAGGAAATATAACTTAATGGTCATTGTTAAAGAAAATACATATTATACTTTTCCTAAAAATATTTTTGTTTAATAGATATAAAACATTATATAGTATCATATAAACATATATTTTAGAGCATTTTTCACAAGTAAATCTTGTCAGATCTGTTTGAGACCTATAGGATTGCAATTCTTGTATATCTTTTGAGTTTAAAACAATGTATATGTTCAGAGTGACATAGCTGGCTAACACAGCTATACATTATGATAGCCATGAATTAATTCCAGGCTTTTGGATTTTAAAAGCTTATCGCATTTCTACCACATACCATATTCTCTCTTTAACATGAGACAGATATTGTCTCTCTTTAACATAACAGACTTTGTCTGTCTTTAACATTCTCTCTTTACCATATTCTCTCTTTACCATATTCTCTCTTTACCATATTCTCTTTTTACCATATTCTCTCTTTACCATATTCTCTCCATAACTATATATAAGAGCTATTAGATCAATAGTTAGATATGTAGAATACTAGCTAGATACATCTAAAGTAGCATAAAATGCCATAATAAGTTATCTACCAAATTTTAGAACTACGTTTCAGTTGAATGCTTTTAAATTTTTCAACTTCTGTTCTTGTTAACATAAAGACAGATTATTTAAACTTGAAGAAATTTCTTTAAACTAAAATATTCTCCACATGTACATATATATGTATATGGCCATTCAAAAGCATTTTTGGGGCTTTATATTTTTGCTGATTTTCTCATTTTATATGAATTGTTTATAATGTGTTGTAAATACAAATACATTTCAGATATGTTGTGTTATGTCTGAATTGAAGATTTAAAGAACCAGTACAGAATAGTAGTTGGTAACTAATTTATCCTCCATAAAATATGTGAGAAATATTCAGAAATAAAGACAGACTAAGACATTTAGACTTGGCTGCAAATAAGAATTTTTTAACAAGGAAAGTTGGAAGTTACTGAGATCACAGTAAAAGAGATATGGAATTTATTTCCTTGGATATTTAATTCAAGGTTTAAGTGTAACCTTATGTGGTAGCAGGACCATACACTTAGCTCAATATGAACTTGTAATACTACTATTTTGTGATTGTGGCAGTTATCCTCCAAGTTTACTTACATAATCACCATTATTTAGCCATTATATGAAAATGGGTTATATTTTCTCCTTCTCACACAACAATGTAAAAGGGGACATATTTTATGTATTTTTTAAAAAAACTTCAGTGAACACTGCTGTCATAACTAAAGTAGTAGTGAGAGAGTTGCTTGTGGGTGGAAACAGGAAACATTAGTGATAAATGTTCTGTTGCTTTTTTTTTCAGGTTCAGCTCGATGTATATTGATTCTAATTAGCACATTTCGTGCCTCAGCTAGTAGCTCTCCTTTAGCTCTGCTTGGAGAGTTTTTTTTAGAATCCACCCTGCTCATAAACACTGCCACCTCCTCCCTCCTTCTCCCTTTACAAATGTTACAACACAATCAGAAATTTCCTCTTTTCTTTCCTTCCTGCATTTTCAGCAGGTTACCTTGCGTCAGAAGCCCAAGAAGAAAGCTCAAGGTAATCAGATATCTTTTGTTTCTTTATCCCCTTTGTGTGTGTGTGTGTGTGTGTGTGTGTGTGTGTGTGTGTATTTTTCTTCCTGGACGCCTTCTTTGGGATCAGATTTTTGTCTGTCTGAATGTTAATATCAGGAGGAGGATGGCAGATTAATTTCTGGTTATTTTTGGATTGATTTTAAGAAATGACGGCATGCTGTTCATTTGGATTAGTCCCTCGTGTATGTCAATATCAACAGAGCTTAGAAAGACTGGCACTGAGTCGGGTAGTAGCTGTGTTTTCAGGTGGATTTTAACCCTTCCATACCTATTGCATAACTAGTGCTATCATTGCTGAAAGGAGATGAGTGACTGCAGGGATGTGCTTGTCAGCCTTGTGATTTCAATTTTTCAACTAATTCTCGGTTACTACTAGCCTTAGATCGATACTTGCATATTACCCTCACTGCTTCTTTGCCCGTATCTTACCCCATCTAGGCACAGAATGCATGTTTAAAAAAATAAAACCGGTATGAATTTTTTGGTTGCATTTTCTTTGGTGAAAAATCCAACTCCGGGGAGGTAAATAATTAAAAGTGCCTTTCACTTTGCCACATAAATCAAGCTAATACCTCTCCGTATAATTGTTGCAGGTCTTTTCAGGATGAGTCGGAGGAGGATATCGTGTAAAGATCTGGGACATGCTGACTGTCAAGGGTGGCTGTACAAGAAAAAGGAAAAGGGAACTTTCCTAAGCAACAAATGGAAAAAGTTCTGGGTGGTGCTCAAGGGGTCGTCGCTGTACTGGTACAGCAATCAGATGGTGAGTGTGCCCTCTTCCTCCTGTCCCAGCGCCTCCACCAAAGGCTGGATGAAAGATCACGTATCAGGAGACATTCATGCCAAAGTTAATTTTGATTTCTGGGACTTGGGGCACATCAAACACAGAAGTTCTAGAAACTGCTTCTGGTCCAGAAGAAATGCAGGTTATTCTGTTATATCCTATGGAGGAGATAGCCATCCTGCTTGACTACTCATTGGTCAGGAGGAAGGAAGGGAGGGGGCCCCAAGTTTATATCCTTGCTAAAGGAGGCTTTCAGGTGCTATTAATGTTACTATTCCATAAGAGGGATTCTGATAATTCCAAGATTCAGTGGAGAACAATTAATATGGAAAATTTACATTGCTAAAGCATCTACTCAATAGATACTCAGCTTTTTCGTTTATTAAGGGTATGAGTTAAGTCCTGAGAAGTTGTTTCATCTCTCCTTTGTTACCTGTATCGCTTTCCTTTCCTCTGGCCTTCTTTATTAGGTGGGCTGGTTTGGAATCGCTAACTTGTGTGCCAACTTTGTTTTAGTGACTGGAGTGGCATTTTCTTTTCTTTTCTTTTCTTTTGAGTTGCTTTTTCTACAAGGGCATTAAATCACTGATGCACCCACAGCACTCTATAAGAGAGTTCCCTGGTCTGTGCTTTAATAGGTACATAGTGCTGTGGTGTGCTTCACAGACTAGTTTTCTGTTGAAAAAAACTGGAAACAAGGTGATTGCTAGATGGTGTGTGGATCTTTCATGACTGGAAAAATTTTCTTTTTTTTTTTTCTGGTACCGGGAACCAAACTCACGACCTTGAGCTTGCCAGGCAGGTGCTGTGCTACTAAGCTAAATCCCCAGCCCCCAACATTATCAAATGATGCTGCTGTTGAATACTAAGTCAGTAGTCTTTTCCATGGCTGATCTTCGGAAAGCTCAAGCCTCTTTGAGGGACAGAGAAGATCAGTAATGAAGGTCCTTTAATAGCTAAGAGAAAAGTACTTAAGAATTGCTCACAAGCCAGAGCAACTTGACTTATGTGACACCATTCCTTTAAAATGACTTGTGTATGACCATCATTCAAGACACAGTGTTATAGAAAATGGAAAATGTTATACACGTGAAATAAGAGCTTCATATTATTTGTGGGTCAACTTTTTGTTGATGAATTTGCTTTTATAGGCCACTAGTCAAAATTTCCAAAAAAGAAAGAAAAACAAATAACTAAATAAAAAACTGTATTACCCAGATGACCCAAGGCAATGTTAAACATTTGCTTAAATTGAACTCAAATCCAATTCCAGTTCCTTGGAATAAGCACACTCCCCTGGAGCTCCTCTCTGCATTCTTGTTCCAAAAGATTTCACCCCATGCATAGCATGGCACAAAGCTCCTTCTAGGGTTTCACAAAAATACATTTCTTGAAGGATTTTATGAGTTTCGACAATTTTATCAAAGATTTAAGGGGTCACCTTGCAGAACGGGCAGTCTTCCACTATCTCCTTTCCTTTCCTTTTATTCTGCTCTTCTGGATATATCTTCATGTTGTCTAGCGCAGAATTGTTTTGCCCTAATTAAAGCAACCTGAGACTATGCTTTTGCTTTCTATTGCAGGCAGGTTTAAAGCTAATACACAATTTCCTTTCTCATTTGTTATTATTTTAGGTTTGTGCTTTTGGGTAATTATGGCACATGATTGTCATCTGCACCATGAGAGGACTTACTTTGGGAGATTTCTGGAGGCTGTTGAATAAATTGGTGTTGGTGGAGTATGGCACATCTGTGGGAAGTACTAAAGCTTGGATTGAGCAATAAATTAATCTTATCAATGAGATTGTTTGGCACATATGTTCTGGGTGCTGTCACTGTTTTAGGATTGCAAGGAAGCTGTTCTCAAGCTACGCGGTTACGGATGTGGCTCATTCAGTGCCATCCGCTCATTTGGCTTCTGCTTTTCGTAGAGCTACCTTCAGGCATTCGGCCTTCACTATTTTGGGAGACTGGAATCTTGGTCTGCCACAGGGACCAGCAGCACTGTGAGAGGTTGGAGAGAAGAAAAGGATGGAGCCTCAGACACAGGCAGGCTCCATCCTGTCTTTTTCATGCAAATGCAGGAAGCACTATTTAAATGCTTGAATACAATTAGATTAGTGACTTCATTTTGAGAATAATGCTTTTTTGAGAATAATTGCTTTGTTATGGTTAGGGAAGTCATGAATTACAGTGTACCATGGAGACTGTCTCTGTTCTCTCCCTTCCTTCTCTCTCCCACTTTCTCTTTCTCTCTCTCTCTCTCTCACACACACACACACACACACAACCTGACATCTCAATTATATATTTGTTGTGGGGAAAAAGGGACCCGATGGATGCGTACTTAATTAGTAGTCATACTCCTGCTATCTGTGTGAATATCAACAGCGAAGTAAGAGCCTAGCACATACCCTCAAGCCAAAACATTTATGTACTTTATACCACATAGAGAACTCAGATTGGACAGAGTTGCTCCTAAGGCACCCAGGCCTAATGAGCAGATGTCTGATTCTGCTTTCCATATTCCCTATTTTTGTGCGAAGGTAAGCCTTGTGGTTTGTAACTTCTCACATAGCTGGATGCTGAGAGGTAACGGCGCTGTCAGAGAAGTTCTGCTATACAGAAGGTCTACTACCCCTGCAAGAGCTTTCCTGGGTCCCTTTGAAGCATGCTCTTGATAACCCCTCAGAATCACCCTCAGAGACAGCTGTAATCACCACATTTGGCAGCTGAGAAGACTGAGACTCAGAGAGAGATTGTGCAAATTGTCCCAGGTCCTACATATCATGTAAGTGTAAGGAAACGTAGTGTCAGAAAACTTCCCACACAGACCCCTTGGTTCCTAAATCCATGGTGCTAACCTGTGCCAGTGTGAGCTCATCCGGGGATCAGGAGAAGTGATACAATGAAGCCCACTGTCTTCGGCCGGCAGTAGAGTTCTGAGAGAACAGCTCTAGAAATGAATCAGTTCTGCTGTGGGATTACAAATGATCCTACTAGGTTCCTTTGCTTGTCTCTATTGCTCCTGCCACTGCCCGAGGAGGCCACATCAGCCTCTCCTTTCTTTGGGTCTTTGGTTGTCCTTGTTACTCAGTAATCAATGCACACTGTACATCATTCTTCTTTTCCCACGTATCTAGGTTTCTAACTGCACTGCTCGGACTTCCTTGAGAAAAATCACCTGACATTTTTCACATCACATTTTATATACTTAGAAAGTGACACAGTACACAAGATTTTACACCTAGTCTTTCAAAACCATGTGTAAGTTTAATGGCTATGCAAATCCCAGCTGGTGAAAATCTTGGGATGAAACGTAGTTTTATTTTCCCTTGCTCTGAGGATGAAGTACAAGTTTACTCTCTGGCTCAAAGGAATCACTGTAATTGGTACCTTTTCTCCTTCCCCACTCTCTGCTGTGGAATGTACTGGCTCTCCCTAAGTCTTCGCACACACTATGCCTCTGCTCACAAACCTTTATCTCCACGCCTGACATCTTTCTCTCACCCAATTCCCTCAAGTTTATTCTTCTCCATATGAAAAATTTCAGTTGAAATATCCTTCTTTGCTGTGGACTTACCCATGGCCCTAAACTTGGCCACCTCTCTGTTCCCTGAGTGTCTTACACCATCACCACCATCCTGTCTTTATATGTTTGTCAGATGTGCTGTTTTTAATAATTAATAGTAATCTCTGTACGGTGAGACCATGGGTTTATCTTTAGTGTCTTCCTCAGTGTCTGACATTTAATAGGCACTCAGTTAATATTTGTTCATTTCATAAATAAATAAGCATTAGGAATATGGGGAAATGAGATTGTCAGTCAGGACTGTATTTGCAGGAAGTAAATTTCCAGGAATGGGATTTTCACTTCTATTTTTAAAAGCACATACAGGACAAGTTGTGAAATGGGTTTGCCAGAAAGGCCCTATGGTCTCATATAGGCCCTGCATAACTGTTCCATCTGTGCTGACATTTTATCAGGAGTGTGAGGAGGGGAGCATAGGGGATGGGCATTCTAGACTGGGGACCTACATGAACAAAGGAATAAAAATGTAAATGAGCTGTGCCAACCCACTATGTTAGGCATTCTATTGAATTCTCATAATAACCGAGCAAGATAGGTTTTATTGTTCTCTTTCTTCAAGTGGGTTTACTGAAGCTCAGGGAATTTAAAGAACTTGTTTAGCGTTTCATAAGAAGTAAATGTCAGAGCAGGGATTACAACTAATATCCTCCAACACAAAAGCTGAACTCTTTTTTCTGGACTGCAGGACTTCTCTATTGGGAGGTGACCCAGGGTCAGTAAATGGGGACCTTGAACACACAGTACAGGGAAGTGACTAGGATCCAGAAGGTAGTAGGGAGCCACTGCATATTCTTGAGCAAGGAGTAAGCTGGAGTGTGAAAAATATTGATATAGCTGTAATAAATTGAGAATGAGATAACTTTCAGAAAGCCAGTTAGGAGATGGTAAAATCAAACAAAAACCCCACAGTTATTCAATACATGGACTCCTGGATGAGAACAGTGCAGATTTGGAATAGCACCCTGAATAAAAAAAGGGGGGTAACATATGAAGGGTGATTAGATACAGGACATAAGATTTGAATCTAAAATGGGAATCCAAGATTTTGAGCCCGGAGAGACAGAGAAAATAATGTAAAAATTGAGGAAGGAAGAGTTTGTGGCTAAAATGTAGAAATTCACTTCAATTCATTGTCACTTACTTTTTAAATTTATTTTCTTTTTGTCCACTATATTTTGGTGTAAAATCACTAGAAATTTCCATTTTTAAAGTAAAGTAACCATTTATGCTGGTGTATCAGTATTTAAAAGGACCCACGGGACCCCCTGGTGAATCATGCTATGCTTTTTATTTCATGAAACTTTTAGGTAAAGAAATGAGGCTTGCAGGTTAGTAGGTGGTTTAATATGTAATATGTAGACTTTTCACTTTGAGACTCTGATCTATCT